GTTGTTAAAATACAAGCCCTTTTCCTTCTCTTAAAAAAATATTTTAGCGAGTAAATAATCTGAATTTTCTAGCTAGCATGTATCCCCTGGCCCTCTTTTTAAAATGTCAAAGTGACTGAAGTAACACTCTGTTCTAGGCTTAGGCTTTGATAAGCCTTGACCCTTCTGTGTTTGCTTGCTCTCTTGGAGGTTTGGCCTAGACTACTGCACCATGAGAGATCACATGGCGAGAAGAGAGGCTCTGTGGAGGAGGATCAAGATGTCCCAGCCAATAGCCACTACCAAGGTCCCGGACATGTGGAGTAAGGCCATCCTGGATCCTCTAGTCTCAGTCAAACAATCCCAGCTGATACCATATGGGCACACCTAAGCCCTCTCAGAATGGTCAGGTGGGGAAAATCACTACTGTTTTAAGTCACAGTCTTGGACATGATTTGTTATGTAGCGATGGACAACTGAAATAGGCATCTTATAATTCTCTCCCTCTCCGTCTCCCTCTCTGTCTCCCCCTCCTTCTCCTTCTCCCTCTCCCATGCCTACATGTCTGGGTTTCTACATTCTCTTTCACTACTGTTTTCTACTTATTCCTGGATCCCTCCCAATTTTATTCCAAGGCACAATGCAAATACCGTATGTAAAATAGTCTTACTAAATGAGAGAATATTATGCCAGTAACTATGGCGGATATCACTTAATATCTGTATTAGGGCTTGTTTCAAGCAAGAGGGCATATGCTATCATACGCTTCTTGTTGGGGGAAGGGATGAAAAAGTGCTGTTGAAAAGCATTTCTTCAAGTGTGGTTTCAGGATTTTGGCCAACTTCTGACACTACGGTTGGAAAATTAGTCACTCCAGAACCTTTGTGAATGTATGTTATGGCCAAGGCCAAGGGAATGCTCATTAAATATTGTTATCTAAGATTTAAATGGTATGAATTTTATATAAATTAAAGTCTCTGACAATGTTCATGGAAGGACATAAAAATGCTCTGGATTTGATGGCTGAAGTTCAGTTTTATTGGCAGGAGATTCAAAGCCTTGTCTCCAGAAAGTCAGAGGCCAGAGTATGGCCATGGATGCTTAGGATTCCTGTGAGGTAAACATCACAGGCTTCCAAAGGAGGCCAAGGCAGCAGCTGCTCACTTTATACCATACCAGGCCTGAAGCTACATTTAAAAAGGAGCCAAGCTGCCTTACTCTAAGTTGTTTTTACCAGGAAGGCAAACCTGATGAATATTAAGGATGTTCTCCCCGGAATAATGCACATATACATCATGGGTCTGAAAGTAAAAACCTCTATTAAGGGCGTATATTAGCTCCCTCAGGACTGGGGACATACACTCTGGTACAGCCTTCACCCAGGAATGTTCTCCCTCACACTCCTTCATCAGCTCCCACAGGAACATGGACCTCACTGTGATTCATCCCACTCTCTGGCTTAACTAATGCAAAAGAACATAGAACTAAGCACCGCGATCCTCTTAAAATGCACCTCACAAGTCCACAGCAGAGAGTCACGAAACGTACAATTCAGCCAACTAGATGAGTCTCCTCACCAGTTCTTGCCCATATACTTGCAGGCCTGGCCATGCATTTCACATTTCATTTCTATTTCTAGATTTTGTGCTCAAGGCAGGATAGCTGCTTGTCTACACAAGTTTCAATATTGTTATTAGCAGTATCCGGTGCTTTTTTCTGTCGTGCTTTCAAATACGTTTTCTGGTTTGAAGGCCCAAGGACCCTAAAAAACAGCTACAGTTCAAACACCATGAGATACTTCCTGCTATAAGCTTTTTTTTTTCCTTTTAGGGACATGAAACATAATCAAATTGCTTACTCCTTACCATTTAATATTATTTAAGAAAAGATTAAGTTATGAAATGCACTATTTTGGGAGAAGGGCACATGTGACATCCAGGGATGGACTTGAGCTCTATTTTCAGAGAATTATATTGAGACTGCTAAAAACAATGGTTTATACCTACTGGACCTTACTACCCACCAGATTCTTGGTTAAATCCTTTAATAAATCATCTTATTTAATCCTTAGGACAAACCAATGGAAGGACTGTGGCACACTGGCTAGATGGTCACCAAACTTGCTTCCCTCTTCTCTGAGTATATGGTTGGGTTGCTTTCCCAGCCTCCCTTGCAATTAGATGTGGCCATGTGAATTCTGGCCAATGGAATGGAGAAGAAAATATGGAAAGCATCATCTAGGCTTGGCCCATATAAACGTACCCAATCTCCTATGTTCTCTCATGCTTCCCCCAGCTGTCTATTGCAGCGATCTGCAGAGCAGAGGCAGAGCTACACGATGGGAGGAACCTGGGTTACTGAATCACTCACTATACAAGATGCCTGCAGTGAACTGCTATGTGAGCAAGAGATCAACTTTTACTGATATTTGGGGGTTGTTTGTTACAGCAGTTAGACTATACTGAAAGTATTTTTTAAAATAAGCCTAGAGAGGTTAAGCACAGGAGTAAGAGGAAGCATATTTGTTCAAGGTCACACGGCGAGTAAGAGGTAGCACATTTTAATCCAAGTGCTTTGTCTTTAGAAACCATATTATTAACTGCAGTTCGATTACCTCCCCTCTATACAAGTTCATTTTTATCAGACATAACAAACTTCTCCCATACCTGATTTATTATATTTGAAGGAGGTGGTTGGAAGGAGGCCCAAAATTTTGGATAAAAAGAAGATAATCTCTTCAAAAATGTCATTTGATTTCTATATCTCTTTATTAACCATGGGAGAGGGAGGCCATGCTGCTTACGCAACTTTGCAGAATACCCTCGCTACTTGTGAAAGTTTACACTCAGAGGTTCTTTAGTAGTTATTAATGCTCTATGACAACTTATGACCAAAAAACGTAGTGGCTTAAAACCTACTTACTCCCTGCTTCTGTGGGTTAAGAACTCAGGAAAGGCTTAGCACGGTAGTTCTGACTCAGGGTCTCTTACGAGGTTGCCCTGAAGATGTCAGTCAGGGCTGCATCATCTGAAGGTTTGATCAGGGCTGCAGGATCCACTCCTGAAGCAGCTCACTCATGTGTCTGGCAAGTTGGTCTGGTTGCTGGCAGGAAGCCGGTTTCCTCCCCACAGGGCTGTGGGACTGACTTTACAACACAGTAGCTTGCTTCCCGCTCAGTGAGCCCGTCCAGAAACCAAGGCAAATGTTACAAGGTCTTTTATGACTAGTCTCCAAAGTCACACTCCATTACTTTTGCAAAACCCTACTGATCACATTGGGATCACTATTCCTATTGATCACACTGGGATCAATATTGGAATCTCTTATTCCCCTTGAAGGGGACTACACAATGGAGTGAATATCAGGAGACCAGGGTCCCTGAGAACTATTTGGAGGCCAGCTACCATAAGAGCCCATTCACAATATATGTGCTGGGTGCCTACTGAGAACCTGGGAACCAAGCAGTGAACAAAACTGACAATAGTTTCTGCTTTCGTGAAGCATACATTCTCATGGAGGTCGCAAAGACAACAGATCAAATCAGTAAGTAAATTATACAGTATGCTAGGAAGTGGTAGGTGCTATGGAGAAAGAGAGAGAAATCAGGATCAAGGGGAGGGAGTGAATGAGGCTGGGATTGCTTGCAATTTTAAATACAGAAATCTAGATGGGACTCACTTAGAAGGCTTGAAAGAGGCGAGGAAACATGCCGTGTAGTTATATGAAGGAAGAGTGTTTCGGGCCTGGAAATAGCAACTGCAAAGGCCTTAAGGTAGGAGGGGGTGCCGGGTGTGGGGAACAGCAAGGCAGCCCAGGTAGGAAATGAGATGAGGCAGTAACAGCAGGGAAAGCAGAGACCATGTGGGACCTTCCAGGCTCTTGTAAGGGCTCTAGCTTTCACTCAGTGACATGGAAAGCCCCTAAAGGGTTCTTAGCAGACAACTGATTTGATTTGACTTAAATTTAAACAAATCTCACTCTGGTGGCTGATATCAGAATAGACAAGCCAAGGGTAAGAGGAGGGAAGCAAACGAGGAGGCTCTAATAAAAATCCAGACAAGAGACGATGGTAGCTAACGTTAGAGTGTTATTAGTGTAGGCGGTGGTGAGTGGTCTCGATTTATTTGGCAGGTTATCTAGCAAAATTAATTCACCATTCTAGGTAAAGATTTACTTAGAAGGAGCACATTTTTTATTTGACACCAGAGCTGTGGCTGTCAAGTGGTGCCCCAGGGGACCCTGCAGCTTCTGAGAAGCTACCTAGGGATCTGCCATGCAGAGTTGGGACAGATGAGTGAAGCATCATGCCCCTACCCCAGTGTTATGAGGACAACTCTGTGGAGTGAGGGAGGTCTTCTTAAGAAAGACCAAAATGTCCTGAAGGAAAAGACAGACCACACACACGCACGCACACACACACGCACACACACATGCATACACATATATAGAAACAATACACCATTTATATAAAGTGAGGGAGGTCTTCTTAAGAAAGACCAAAATGTCCTAAAGGAAAAGACAGACCACACACACGCATGCACACACACACACACATGCATACACATATATAGAAATAATTCACCATTTATATATCTGAAAGGCAAACTTCAGATTAGGAAAAATATTTGCAACACAACTGAAACTAGTTTAATGTCACTAATAGTAACTATTATAAACTCATATGAGGACACCCAAGTTAAAAAAAAAATGGGCAAAGGAAATCTTCAAAATGAGACTTAGACTAGCACCTTCTTCATTGGATTGTTGTAAGGATAAAAAGGCAACATATGTAAAGGACTCAGCACAGTTCCCACTATAGGATAAATGCTGTCGCCACCATAACTACTGTTGTCACAGCTGCCATCCTGAGATTATCATTGCTGCCATTATTGCCACTACCAGCAACTTCATCATCATCACAATTCTCATTAGCAATGTGAACACTAGTCAACCCTGAATGCCAGTTCCAACTCAGCCTCCCCCAAGGCAAATTCTTCAGTGCCCAATTATACTTATATCACCTTATCATGGTTTTCGATCAGGATCTCAATGACAATGTTCTGAAATTTGATATCCATGATGGCGGCTACTGTTTCTTCCTGAGGCCGAAGCAGGGTGGGTCCAAACACCACGCCAAGGTTCGCCACTGTCATCAAATTTTGCTTGTGGTTGTTAGCAACACTGGGAAAAAGGAAAAGAAAAGGCACAGATGAGAGAAATAGTATACAAATAAACAGCTGACTTCCCTCTACCTCTCCTATTTTTCAACTTCTCATCTAGAAGAAACCAGACCTTGGGATACCTCCTGATATCTTTGGAATTCAAAGACAGACTTTTCTACTCATAGTTTCATCTATCAAAGCTTCAGAAATCTTCAGTATCCACGCTATTTAGCTATTTCATATTATCATTTCCATTTTGCCTAAACAACCAACCGACCAAAGCAGCTGCCTTCCAAAATATGAACCTTTGTACATCCAAATCACTGTTCTGCAAATCCAGGTACCTGCTATTCCACTTAGTTACAATTTCTATACTTGGCTGCTGCTTAAACCACTGTGATCAGTAGCATTTTCTCTAGCTCAAATATAAAAACTCTTGATGGTTTTAATACATTTGCAAACATAGGCACAAAATAGACGTAATTTTCAAAATGGGCAGCTCTGGATACTCAAGAAGAAGTCAGGAAATTAAGCACTTTAGGCTCAGAGTATTAAAGCCCCATCCCATGAAACATGTGGCTTATATTAAATGAAACATGTGGAATAAACAGGATAAAAAACCCCTACTGTAGATCTATGTATATGGCTGTGTTTATATTGTCATTTATACTCAAAGGGTAAGGAATACACAGGGTCAACAGTAGCTGGGTCCGAGTAATTTGCTAAACACATACGCATATTTTTGGATAAGCAGCTACACAAAACATGTATCTGCACTCCACAAGTAGGCCACCATTACCTAGCCATAAAACTTAATTGTCCATTTGTTAGCCCTGAGTATAAAAATATACAAATTACCTATAAGCGACAAGTAAGTCAAAAGTTAAAGCCATTCACTATTGTTAAGAAAATATTAGGGGCTTCTCTAAATCACCTGTTAGAAGAAGGAAACTATTCATTATGAGAAATGAGAGGGAAATTGGGCAGAGAAGTCAGTTTGCACAGACATACCTCCCTAGCATTCAGGGCTATTTATAGTGAGTGTTGTTGTTTTTTTTAACACAATTCTGTAAATGCCGGCACTGTTTCGCTTGTATACTTCTATTTTGTGGGAGAAAAAACTGTTCTACTGACCTAAGTGTAGGTTTTGAAACTGAGCCTTTACTGAAATAGTAACTCAACCAATTTTATCAGCAGATGTGTACTTTGCTATACTTTTCTAGGACTGAAAGTAATTTCCTAAAAACTTCCACCTCTGAAAGGGTCATGGCGGGGAGAGGGGTCAAGTCTATGAACAACTCAATTAGAAATATAATCTGCTTTTTGATTGCTAAACAACACCTGCAGCAAGGAGATTTGCCACTCATATTCTGGTCCACATAAGAATATTTTACAAACATTTTTTGTGTTCCTGGAGTTTTCTATTCTACCCAGAACTGCATCACATTTCTAGTCTGAAAGCCTTAATGCAGATGGTCAAGTTCTTACCTGGCAAGGGGGGAAAAGACTTTGCTTCTGTGCCTCAGTCCATCAGCAAGTATGCATATTTAAAAGCTGCAGTAACGACCATTGCTTTCAACATCAGCTCCTGGGTGCAGAAGTGAATTCCATGCCCTCCCAAAAGAGTTAAGTCAATAGACCTACCCCTCTTGTCACAAAAGTCCTTTGTGCAAATGAATCAACAAGTTTTATATGTATGAAGGCACTTTTAAATTGCAGACCAATATAAAAATACATGGTTTGGATGATGATCATTCTTCACCACCATGCTCCTCAGCACTCCGACTCAAGCAATAGCCTCATAACTAGGCTCCCTGACTAGAATTTCTAGGTTCTGCTTTATCCTGCCTGCTACCACTAGGCACTGTCCAGAAGTCAGCTCTATTTACATCATTCCTCTGCTGAAAGCTGCAATGGCCTCACACCTCCTTGGATTGTAGGGAGAGAACACAATGACAAAGTGTATGTAATGTGTAATGTGTTTAGCAATGCTTCTATTATTTGAGTGTTGATAGTGGGTTCCACTGTTTTGAATATGAAGGCCAAACTTAAGAAATAGTACACTTTTTCCCAAGTCACCTCTGCCACTTTCCAGCTCTGGGTGTCTGGGCAAGTGACTCAGTATGTCCAAGCTTTGAGTTCCTCACCGGGTTCCCGCCCCCCCTATTTTAATTAAATTTATTGGGGTGGCATTAGTTAATAAAGTTATATAGGTTTCAGGTATACAATTCTATAATACATCATCTGTATATTATATTGTGTGTTCACCACCCCAAGTCAAGTCTCCTTCCATCACCATTTATCTCCCCATACTCTCTTCTACCTCCTCTCAATCCCATTTCCCTCTGGTAATCACCATACTGTTGTCTGTGTCTATGGGTTGGGTTTTTTCTCTTTGGCTTAATGCCTTCATCTTTTTCATCTACACCACAACTCCTCTTCCCTCTGACAGCTGTCAATCTCTTACCTATCTACAAGTCTGCTTGTATTTGGTTTGTTAGTTTATTTTGTTTATTTGATTCCACATATGAGTGAAATCATATGGATACTTGTCTTTCTCGGACTGGCATATTTCACTTAGCATAATGCTCTCCAGGTCCATCCATGCTGTCGCAAAGGGTAAGTTCCCTTCTTCTTTATGGCCGAGTAGTATTCCATTGTATAAAGCACTGGTTCTCAACCTTCTGGCCCTTTAAATACAGTTCCTCATGTTGTGACGCAACCATGAAATTATTTTCTTTGCTACTTCATAACTGTAATGTTGTTACTGTTATGAATCATAATGTAAATATCTGATATGCAGGATGGTCTTAGGCGACCCCTGTGAAAGGGTCGTTCGATCGCCAAAGGGGTCGCGACCCACAGGTTGAGAACCGCTGGTAGAAAGGTACCACAGTTTATTTATCTTATGATGGACATTTGGGCTATTGTAAATAATGCTGCAAGGAACAACGGGGTGCATATATTCTTTCAAATTCATGTTTCGGGTTTCTTCAAATATATTTCCACATGTGGAATTGCTGGGTCATAGGCAGTGCAATTTTTAATTTTTTGAAGTAACTTCATACTGCTTTCCTTAGTGGCTGCACCAATCTGTATTTCCACCAACAGTGCATAAGGGTTCCCTTTTCTCCACATCCTGGCCAACATTTCTTTGTTGATGTATTGATGACAGCCCTTCTAACAGGTGTGAGGTGATATCTCATGTGGTTTTATTTGCATCTCTCTGATGTTCACTGACATCAAGCATCTTTTTATATGTCTATGGCCATCTGTATGTCATATCTGGAGAAGTGTCTATGCAGATCCTTTATCCATTTTTAAACTGGATTGTTTTTGTGTTTTGTTTTGTTTTGTTTTTTGGTGTTGAATTGTATAAGTTCTTTATAAATTTTGGGTATTAACCCTTTATCAGATGTGTCATTGGCAAATATGTTCTCCCATTCAGTGGGTTATCTTTTCATTTTGTTGATGGTTTCCTTTATTGTGCAAAAACTTTTTAGTTTGATACAGTCCCATTTGTTTTTTTCTTTTGTTTCTCTCCCAAGGCTATATATCAGAAACAAAACAAAACAAAAAACACTGCTACAAGAAATGTCTGAGATTTTACTGCCTATGTTTTCTTCTAGGGTTTTTATAGTCTTGAATCTAAGATTTAAATCTTTAACCCATTTTTAGTTTATTCTTGTGTATGGTCCAAGAAGGTGGTCTACTTTCATTTTGTTTGCATGGATCTGTCCAATTTTCCCAACACCACTTGTTGAATAGGTTATCTACATCCATTGTATACTTTTGCCATCTTTGTCAAATATTAATTGAAGATAAAGGCATGGGTTTATTTCTAGACTCTCTACTCTGTTCTATTGATCATATGTCTGTTTTTATGCCAGTACCATAATGCTTCTATTCCTATTGCCTTGTAGTATAGTTTGATATCAGGTAGTATGATTCCTCCAAATTTGTTCTTCTTTCCCAAGATTGCTGTGGCTATGTGGGGGTCTTTTGTGGTTCCATATAAATTTTTGGAATATTTATCCTAGTTCTGTGAAATACACCATTGATATCTTGATAGGAATTTCATTGACTCTATAGATTGCTTTGGGTATGGACATTTTAATTCATCCTATCCATGAGTGGCATATACTTCAGTTATTTGTATCTTCTTCCATTTTTTTTCTCCAATGTCTTATAATTTTCAGAGTACAGGTCTTTTCCATCCTTGGTTAAATGTATTTCTAGGTATTTTATTTTATTTTTTGATGCAGTCTCTGTCTAGTATTTCCTTAATCTTTCACCCCTCAATGAAGGCAGAAGTGTTGTCACAATCCTGTATTTATTACACGTTATTGATGTCTCTACTGCTGTCTTAGGATAGAGACTGTGCTTATTTTAGGTGGTACCACCTGTGCTAAGCACAATGCCTGGCCCAGGAGAAGCACAACAATGTTCACTGAGGTGTTAAAAGATGATGGAAGCTTCTCAGTAGACATAAAACAATTATTCTCAAGGCAGCTATTTACTCATAAAAACTCAAATTATTACTGATGATTTTGGGGAGAATGTATTTCAACTATCCCAACCTCCCCTTTCAAAGCCTGGAGCTGTGTTCCATTTCTCAGGTTTAATTAATAAGTAGCAATTACTCAGATGTGCAGGCCTCAATGCCCAAAGGCATTTGGAAAGAAAGGCACAGTAATTCTGGATAAGCAAGTCTGAATATAAATAGGCTTGAGGCTACCCAACATAATTCATTTCCTTTTTAATGATCCATTTTATTTTAGAACTTAAAAACACATTGATCTAAGTTTTATGAAACTTTTGGGGGGGGACGTACTTTTTATGACTAGCATATCTTTTGGTACAGTGACATAATGAATTGATCTGTCACTTGATTATTACTACTCACAAATTGGTATGGCTATGTTCATTACTCCAGATTGAATTACTAATGGCTTGAGATCTCTATGTAGCCCAGACAGAAAGGCCTAGACCTCAGCCTCTGTTGGCACCAGCCATCCA